TTAATTTCTCTATCGAGTAAAAGTTATATCGCGATACATATCGTTATCGTTCTATCGCCCAGCTCTAGCTTTAAGTCAGTGTTTTTTCAGAGTTTGGATTAACTGCTGAGAAATTTAGGGTGATGGAGGGGCTGGAGCCTATCCTAGCTGCAGTACAGTAAGAAGCGGCTTACACCCTTTTCTTTTAATTCCCTGGTTTTAGCTGCTCAAAATTAACTGGACAGTTGACTCCAAAGCAGTTTCATTGCCAGATGGGGCTTGTTTCCTTGCTATGTCATCACAAATGAAGCAGATGCCTGAAGTTGACTCATAGAGCTGATTTTGTATTTGTAGTTTTGCATTTTTGAATAGAAGTCTCAGACAGATGGCAGTGCACACAAGGTACACCATCACTAGGCTGGGAAAAAACCCCACAATAAACCAGAGAGAGATGGTAAGAAATTTGGCAGTGGCCAGATTAACAATGTGGTACATCCTTAAAAACAATTAGTGCACTAGCCAGCCAACACCGAAAGACCATAGCAGACAACTAATGTGCCAGAGTTATTTCTGTAACAACATTGTTCACAATATTTCATCAAAAACACTCTACATGTGTATCAGTGTCGACATCTAGAATTTGGAGACCCCATCAATGTACACTGTATCAATACACATCATCAGTGTTAATACAGAACAATTTGCAGACTACTAGTTACTCAAGAACAAGAAGATCACATTAAACTTTGTCAGAATCAGCTGGAAAGAAGCTGTATTTTTAGACTCATAAAACAAAGATTAACTTTAACCAGAGCGATGGGGAAAGTATTGAGAAGCAGGAAAGCAGCTCAAGATCAGATGGGCTCCTTTCCCATTAGTACCTGCTCGGTTTGATTCGCCACGACTCGAATTGGATTAACTGGTTTTCCATTATAATAGAGTACCACCTAATGTGCGTTTTCATTGTCATAGCAACGCGTCCAAGTGTCCTATGACGTAATTAATATGCAACACAAACACTACAACAAAGGTGGGTGTCGAGGCAAGAATACACCTCCTGCTCAGTCTGTCGCTTTTCGGCAGACTCTGGGACCACAGCATTGTTTTTTCAGGCAGAGCGGTGTAGAGATTTTTGAAGGGGCGGGTACTGAAAGTTAAAAAGGGGCACATGGGACCAGGGTGAATAACAACAACCCGCTTTCTTCAAAAATCGAATGTGGATTCACATCATTTTATATCACTGTTATCAGGCGGGGACAAGGCAAAGCAAAGGTAGCCTATTTCTTACCCGATGGGTACAATGGTGCTGTTGAGGTGTTGCTGCTGCTCCTGATAGTGCTGGAGGGCAGGGCTGTGTTGATCTGACACTGTAGACTAGAGCAGGGCGATATGGCCAAAAATATTTATCACGATATATATTTGAAAATTTACGATAACGATATAACTGACGATATAGTTGATGCGAGACAAAATACAACTCCACAACATTACTAGCACAAAAAGACAACCTTCCATTTATTTTCACTTAAACAAGAAGCTGGTTTTTATGTACATTAAAGCTTTATAAAAATGTAACAGTGCAAATGCAAATTCCTTGCTGAAAGTTTAACCAAAAGGCATTTCCAGTAGAAATGGGCTGACATATCCTGAGCATAAACATGTATAA